CAAAATAAAAGTGTCTTAGTTAAGTGTCTCATATTTGACGGTTTTAACCCACTCCCAACTTTCTTAAATGTGCAAGCTGTATAAGTAAAAATGTTACAAGTCCAATCTCCGCAAAGTATAGCAGTGGTGAGAATTATTTATGATGCTTCCAATTAGAGAAATTTTAGTCAGAAGAATGATTACTAAATAGATAGCATTCATTTATAATGAATAGGTTGAATGAGTTCTATACTCAAACTGAATAGGCAATATGTGAAAAGGATATTTTACCTGTAAGTAGACCGAAAGACTGATTGTAATTTGTGCAATAATCGATTCTCTTTGGGATTTACTCTTGCTCAAAGAAAACTACCTATGCCTGTGCTTTGTGTATCTGCACAACCTGCAAGCACCTTGTAATTACACTGGCTGCAAAGCTGGTGCTGGGAAACTTAGATTCCTTTCTATATGCAAATGGACTGAATATTTCTGTGCCTTGTGGCAGGGATGCAAGGGGGTGCTATTGACGCCCTACGGGTTTTGCATAAAATCACAAACAACATTGCTCTTTGTTGTAATATGGAAACTTGGTTTTGGCCTGAATGTGCTGAGACAATTTGGCTGCATGTATTATTACTTTTTTTTCCTTTTATTTATTTTTTTTTTTCCATTGAACATATTGTTCCAGTCATATCTCTTTAGTGTATCTGGTCTAATTAATATTTGACTTTTTATAGGCTGCTGGTTTAGCAGGATAATAAAAAACCTCTTAAATCAAGAATATATTAAAAAGTTTTTTTTAAAAAAACATTATACAGAGAATGAGACCTCTATAAAACTCTGGTTTTGAACAGTGTCTGGAAAAGAAAGACTGCGAAAAGCTTGTAAGAGATTTTTCCTCTTGCTCAGAATCCTCTTGGTATTTACTGAATGTTTTGTTTTCTGAGTAATAAATAATAATCTTTAACTACTCTACAGTTTCTGTGTTTCTGGATTTGTCACTCCAACACAGCTGTAATTTTGTCAGCACATGAACTGTATGAAACAGTGTTTCTTTAAAGTTTTAATTTGGATAACTGTCCTAGCCTGTGCCAAAGAGAGCATTTTTTCGGGGTAATATAATATACAATCTTTCAAGATGCTCCTAAAAGCTTTACTGGTCTTTGGATCATGCCCTAGTGTGGGGAAAAGGAGGATTAGGTAGACTAAGTGTAACTAAAAACACTCACTCATGTATGCTAAAACAAATGTGTGCTTTACCATATAGAGAAACAAAATCCTTTGTGAACTTGGACGTGGGGTAGATAATATTACTTACCAAGCATATTATGCTGTGAAGACAAAGATTTTAGTTGGTGGTACTGAGCATATGCTGAAGACTTGTTGTATGCATTTTATTTTAAAACTTCATGTATTAAGAAAAAAGGAATAATCTACTTGTGGAAATTTCTTGTTAACAATTTCAAAAGAAATCCAAATAGCTTGGTTGGATGAGAGGAGAAAAAAGAGAAACACAAAAGGGAAAATCTGCAGAGTATGGTTGCCTTTAGAGATAAAGTTTGCTGGGTATATGCCAACAAACATGTTTTATTTCCCACCATTTTATTTATAAATGTATGAACCCACTAGGTAAATAATAATCTTGTCCTCGTGAAAAAGCCCCCCTAAAATAGAGTGTATGTGTTTTACATGCAAGTCAGATCTATACCCAATAGCACAGTTGTTCCCTTTTATATGGTTTATAGAAATTTGAACCAAAATTCTTGATCAAACACCTCTGAGCTTTGGAACATCTGAAGCCAGGTCCAAATTCTGTGACTGGATATATCTCTAGTTTTAAACAGGCAGTAATTTAACTTCTGTTAAGAGACTTTTTCTCTATGAAAGTTGCAAGAAATGCTTCAAGCTATGTCTGCGTGAGCAGGCAGTGTGGTGCAGTAGGAGCAGATCAGTTGGTATTGAGGACCTGGCATGTACATAATATGTGTTTCAAGGAGGGGCTATTTAGCTCTAGTTTGATTCTATGGACTGAATTCCCATTAGTGGTTGGTGCACATTAGCAGTGCTCCCAGAGATCATCTTCTAGTTGAGTTTCACCATAAAGGAAACCACTTTGTGCACTCTGAAGCTGTTGTGTGATGTGAACTGAAATGCAGGAACTGGGGGTGATGGGGGGTTTACTTTCAATAGCATACTTCTGATCTGAACAAAAGTGTTAGTCTAATTTTTTAAGTGGTGAAACGTGGTTGAAAAACTGAAAAAAGTTATTAAGTCGATGGAAACAACATAGTTTCCTTTAACTACTTTAGAAAACTTTTCAGGTTTCAAATTGTTGGCAACACTTCAGTATTACTTAAAAGACCAAAAGCATTTGTCTTGGAACAATTGATACAAAAGTACCATATAAATTAATCTGTGTATTTTCAGATGCAACTCTTGGCTTACTCATTTGGAGAATTACAGTTTCATACAAGCTTTTAACATCTCCCAGAACAGCCCTGCTGTTTATGCAGCAGTAGCGTAGCTGAGGAAAGCTTTTCACACCTGTTGATGACATCTGAAGAGTCGAGATAACAAGCACGTGAAGTCACACTTACTATCTTTCTGTCCATCTAAAAATAAATGCCATGGCTCCCTTCGGCTTGTAATATATGTATAAAAAAGTCTGGACACAGCTGAGAGGCACAGTAGCATTAAGCTATCATTTACTGGCTGTGCCATTCTTAAGCCAGAAGATAAAGCGGATAGTTCTTTAGCTGCACACTTTGTAAAGAATTTGTACCAAGAACCACTGACACCCTACTGAGATAAACAGTTCGGCCTTGAGCACGTGATAGAGAGAATTGCTATACCTTTCTCTCACTTTTAAATCTCTGTATTCAATTCCCCCAGACTGAAGTGACTGTAGGATGAGATTTCCTATTTTTCTCCTCTATCAGGATCAGGGATTTTAGAATCTGCATTAACTGAAAATCTTTGTTTCCTTTATGTTATATTGGTGTAAAGGTTTTCACATAGGTCGGTACTTGCAATTAGATAGGCTTACCTTCTAATTCTATCAAAGTCATGTCCAACCTCAAACCTCTCAAAACAGCACCATGTGATGATGCAATACCACCGAACTTTCCCCAAAGTTTTGTCATCAGGTCATGTTCTATGACTTTCTTTTAACTTAACAGTTCTTGTATCTACATTTCTGAGAGTTTCCCCACATTTACGATTGGTATGTTTGGCCTGTTAAAGAGAGAGCAGTCTTGGGCCTTCAGTTTGAAAGGACATGATCTCATTCAGTTTTAAAAAGCTAATTTTGCCCAGATTATATACTCAAATGCCTAATACAAAAATTGTGTTCCATTCTTGCCAGTGGTTTGATAAATCCGAAGCATACTCCTCTGTCAGGCTGAAAATGCCAAACTTCTGTGATTGTCAAGTAACTTGACACTCACATTTTCTCATTTTTCATACCAGTTGAAAGGAAATACAGAATCTTTATCATATGTAGTAGATTTATTTTTACCTTCAGTTACTCCACAAAGAAATGAACATTAAGCAAATATTTTAAAACACCAATGACATTTTAGGTTTGTAAAAATAGCCATTATGTGCACTCTCACTTTCAAAAGGATTTTCAGATTTATTTTATGGGCTTTATCAGTGGAAAAATATAAATGCTACACATAGCCTCCATGATACATGAGGAGCAGAATTATGTTTTGTGCCCCAAAATAATTCAGGAACTAACCTTTAAAAGACAAGGTTGTTGCAACACTTTTTTAATGTCTGCTTTTGATATGCAGACATAAATTATAAATGCAGTGACACACATTTTTAAGACATTTAAATTCTGAAATAATATTTGAAGACATTTTGAAAAGTCTTTGAATATGTGGACATTATATTTCAAGCTTTGGGACCCATCTGAATTTTTAAAATAAATTTAAAGTATGTGCAGCTTCTTATTTTGATTCCATGTTCTTCTTATATTTTAGAATGGGAAAAGTATATAAGATTGTTTGCCACTGAGTTGTTAATTTCTGCTAGTTTTGTAGACTTGATATTTTGTAGATTTTTCTTCTTTAAAGTGGGTTCAAAATACCCCAATAAATCATTTATGAATTGTGTTGATATTTTTTGAAAATGCTGAGTTTGTCAGTCAGGTGTGTATACGTAGCTGGCACCTACCTGAAAGCATTGTAGCCCTCAAAAAGTTTCAGAAATTGATTTAAAAACTGTATTCTTTCAGCCTTTTTTTCCCTTAGGGCTTCACCAGGCTTTTTATAAAAGATCTTTCCTCTGCATATTTTAATTAACATTTATTTTTAAAGTTGTCCAAGTTTTAATTTACCAGCAATAAAGATATTATGATGATATTTCACCATTGTTTCTATTATGGAAATTGAAAGATGGAGATGCAAAAAACCAGTACCATTTTCTGCAGAAAGGTTTTAAAATTTACTTTCATTATCAATTTGCAGTGAGTTCCTATTAGAATGTGGTGGGGTTTTTTTCCCCAAAAAACTATATATGTGTGTGCATGCCTCAGAACAATTTTCTGCTAAGTGATGTGAAAGCTGATTTCATTGCAAATCATTAAAAGAATGTAGAACTTCTGCTTTGCTTCTTACTTAACAATCTTTATTAGACTAGCCATTTTATTGTATGACTTGATATTTATTCCTTATCACAGTTGCCGCATCAGAAAATTAAGACAATATAACCCCAAATTCAAAGCAAAGTAAGCAAAAACTATTTTTGGCATATGTTAATGGTAGTTGAATAACAGATGGTGGAAGCAGACATGAACAACTGCTTGTTTTGTACTATCCACGTAAAATAGCTGCTTTCTAATGATCTGTCCCTGTAACGCTTTGATGGCTTTGGTGTTTGCACAGATGCTTAATTTATGTTAAAAATAATGTCTTGATTACAGCACTCATGTATATGCTGTAGTAATCATGTGAATACCTCAGCTGTTTCACTTTTTAAATTCCAGTATAGCTTTTTTAGTTATATTGGCAGTTCATTGAGTTATATTGGCAACTTCAAAGATAATATTTTGACAGAATTTTACTGGTATAATATGCTACTGCTGGCTAATAGGGACTTCCACCTCCTTCAGAATCCCACAAGAAAAGGTTTAAAAGCTGCTACTTTGGAATCAGGCAGAAGTCCTGACACTTGTACTGCAGTTCTAAGCTGTTAATGGCTTTTTGTGTACATGCATATATTTGTGTGTTAACGTAAGACTAGCATTTTGGGTAAACGGTAACTGCTTCATATCCCTCTGGTGGTCTCATGCGAGCTCGTGCATGAGCTTCACAGTACAGTTGGCCCTCCACAAAGAAGTAGCCTTTTTGTTTCAGGTTGAGATTGCAGTCAGAGCACACAAAACATTCTGGGTGCCGGTATTTATCACGTGCCTTCACCACTGTTCCTCTATATGGAAACAATGAAAAGAAAAAAATAATTAATTCATATGAATTTAAAGTGAAAAGAAACTACAGTATGACACAAAGTAAGTTCTAGGTATTTATCTTAACGCTTTTAGGTTGTTCATCTGGTGGTTTTGCTAACTACTATATGATTTAAGGTTGGAAGCTGAGTTTAAGTAAGTGACATAAAATGATGTAGAGTTGATCACATAGTTCAATAGTTCATTGGAAAACTAGAGTTTGAAGAAACATGCTACTTTGGTTACAACACAGAAAGTACAGTCTAATCTATCAAAATGGTGACAAAATCAGTTTAAAAACCACATTGCTTTTCCTCAGTGACTGTGTTCTCTGAGCTCATCATTATCTGTGTTCTTTGCTGAAGGTAGTGATGTCATTCAGATAGAAATCTGATGGTTTTAAAATAGCCCACAGAGCTTTCCGGATACTTCCACTGGGTTGGGAGAAGGATGCTTTACACTACCAAGAAAGTTTTGAGAATTCACAGCCTGAGACAATGCAGCACAGGTAACTGCTGGTTTCATTATGTGTGTGTTAATGATTGACTTGCAAAAGATCCTGAGAAATCTTAATTAAAGCCTTGACAGTACATTATCAAAACTGAAATAATCTGTATCAAAAGTGTTTAAGGTACAGGTTAATAATTTGGGATTTAGGACAATGTATTTTTACATCTCTGTTGTCTAGAAGCATTTTTCTACTAGTGCAGATGGAGACCAAGACCATCACTTGGAAAGCATTCCTGTAGTCTGCAGTGGTGTTTGAGGACATGTGCTAGAGATTTCTAAAACTAAAAAGAAACAACTTACAGAATCCCATTCCCACACTTGTCACACAGTGGCACTTTCTGGACACCAGGCATGGCAGAAGGTATCTTTGTTACAGGTGCTTTCACACTTCTTGTACCCACGGGGCGTCCATCTGAGAACCAAAACAATCCTGTTAAGTACAGACTAATATCAAAGCATCTGATGCAGTTAAACACTTTCCTGTAAATAGACTTCTGGATGTACTTATAGGCTTTCACTTATATCAACAATGACGTTTCTCTATACATGTTTAGTGGGTCAGATTCCACCTCTTTGGAATCGGGAAAAATATTGTGTCGCTTTAGCCAAAAAGCAAGTACCAAAGTGATTACATAGATCGTGCTCTCTGTCTCATAGACATCATCTAATTCTCTGATAGTAGGTCTTGGGTATAGCAGGAGAGGGAGGAGGATTTGGCTTTAACATAGCAACATAACATAGTCAAGACCTATTGTTAGAAAGCTTCTTATTTATATAACTAACCATACAACAAATTCGGAAAGATTAGTAACATGATATGAATACAAAATCATAGCAAAATACAAGAAAATGCCAACCAAAATCTGACAATGATATATATATATAGACAATTAGATGTACTTATCCCTTCTCTGGTAAATATTGAGATATAAAAATTAAAATCTTAAATATTGACCTGTTAGGTTAGTTTTGGTTGTATTTTATTCTTTACACTTACTGTAAATATAACAAACTTCAGCCTTTAGTAATGTTATTTTCAAAACTTCTTCATTTGAAGGAAATATGACTGTAAATTATATTGTCTTCTTCAGTTTTTATTTAGAATGAAGAGGGGATGGGTGAAACTTATTTTAGGAGTTGGTTTAAATTTCTCTTTTCCTGGATGTGGAAGAGAGTGTTTGCTTTCTTGGTGTCTTGAGTATATGCAGCTTGTCCCAAAAGTTCTCTCACATAAAACTTTTTATCATTCAGGTAAAGTCAACTTTGTACATTAAAAATCTTAAAATCTGAGAAGAGATTCTGAAAAATGTGATTAACACCCCCATTTTATTCACACAGGAGATTGCTAGCTATAAAAGCAAGGGGGAAAAATGTTAGGAGGCTGGTGTGCTATCTATAAGATTCAGAATGACTTGGGCTTTCAGAAATTCTTATAGCTCTGATCTCTCATATTTTCTTCTCAGATTCCCCCTTCCCACAAACATTTAAAAATGTTTTGAACAGGTAGAATATGTCATTATTAACCACCTTCCTCGGAGACTAAATTCTGGAGCACCTTAAAGGAGCCAGACTGGCGAGGTTGACTGGGCTCCTCCTGGTTGGTATGCAGCATCTTGTACACATCAGACTGAGGCACTGAGCTGGGAGATGGGTCACTGTATCACAGGGAGGAAGAGCAGATAAAGCAGTTTAACAAACATAACCTCAAAGCAATACCAGGCATAGAATATGATTCAGGAAACAAACATAAAGACAATGTGTTTCTACAACTCCTGAAAGATTCTTTCTTCCAGGTAGTGTTGCTTTATATAGCCTCCTCTTGATCTAAAAAGTGCTGAAAAAAAGAATCTATGCAATTGTTACAAAAATAAATCTACAAACTAATGAAAGGATTTCCATAATTACTGTTCTGGCTCTAATGGCATTTGGAAATGTTTAACCTCAAAGCAGTTGCATTCCTATGATCAACTGCTGTATTGCCAGGTGCTCTTTGGTACGGTATCCAGAAGTTCCATTTTCACAGCAGCTGGCCTCAAGAATGTTGTTAAAATCACAGCTCATATCTTTACATAAGGTCAGCCAAAACCTAAGCAAACAAATCTTTTGGGAGAGTATCATGACGTGAAGGTGTTCTTCCTTTTCTAAGTTGGCTCAATCACTAGTTAATACAGTGATTATTTGGCTAAGATAATTGTTACTTATTTAACTTATGGAGATGACAAAAAAGAGTGAACTAGGTATTGCATAGTAGGAAGCACTGTAAGGTGAACACTGATGAATGGAAATTCTATTTCTTAATTTAATTACTTTTTGTAATGCCAATTTTAGGATAAAAATATAAAGTAAATTATTGTCCAAACAACTGTTGATGGTTGAATTTTGAATGACTATGAGCTGAAGATTTTACTAAGAATATTTCATGGTATTTTAAAATGTGCTGAATGTTTTAAATTGATCACGATAACTAACATCCTAAGTAGTTGAGGGGAAGAGTAGATGACTACTGGCAGGAATTAGGCTGAATGTGTGGCATCTGTAAATTTCAAACTGCTACTGGGACTAATTAGAAATGTCCAAATTTACTTCGATGAAGTCTGTTATCTCACTGATACATACATGAATGTCCAGTTTAAATTTCCTGTTACAACTGGCCTCCTACTGTCTGTTAAACCTTAGGTAAGTTTCCACTGGAAATAAGCAACTAATTCCACAAGGAATTAGGCTGGGTTTTGCTTTATATGGTTTGGTTTGTTTCCCAGCGTAGCATCTAAGCTGTCAAATGGCACCGTAAGAGCAGCGGCAGTTGGGCAGTGACCCCTGTTGCCTATGTTAATTGCATCTTCATCACTCAACATTTCTCTGAGCTGCCTTTAAGCTAGTGAAGAAACTACCACTTTCTTCTCATCACAAGCTTTTAATGAATAGAAGGAGCTTAGTTTTTACAGTTCTCACCAATGGCTAATTAAACCCTTGATTCTCTCCTTTTTACTAAAATATTTCTAAACATCAAACAAGTGATAGTACAATTACATACAGAAGGCAAAAAACCAGACACAAAGGTGTGAGAGAAAATTTCTAAAAGCATACATAGTGAAAACCAATCCCGCAACAAAAGAGACATTTCCAACCTGTGTAGAGAGTCAGCTCTCAAACTGGGAATGCTGCTGGCATTTGTGAAATCTGATTACTCTGGGCTTAACCCATGATTTCAGAATAAAGAAAAAGCAAGTTTTTATTTTATTGCCCTCTAATTGTTGTGATTGAGGATAAATATTCATGCAGTAGAGTAACACCACTCTACAAAGACTTCATGAACTACAGTTTTCTTTATCAGATGGGGTGAAATTGAATACTTCTATATAAATATGATTTTTCTGGTTAGTAACAGCCCAATTCTGCAAGGTGCTGAAGACGGCTTATTGGTGCCAATGATTATTGCTAATTTAAAATATTAGTAATTAGCTTTAGTTTACACCATACATACTATTAATTATTAACTTAAGTACTGTTGTAAAACAGAAAAATAAGTTACTATTATGCAAAAGTAAAGCTAAAGCAATGTGAATGATGAATTGTCCCTTGAAAAAAATTAATAGTGCTTTAAAAATTTTTATTGTATAATCATAATTTTAATCCGGATACATAAGGTTCCTACCTGACTTTTAGTCATTGCAATGGATAAAATTCATGAGTCAGAGATGGATTAGTAGGCCTAAAAAGTCAGTTCTGGCTCTTTTTGGACTGAATGATACTGAATGAGTTGTCCTGAATGGGAGTTAAATATCTAGGACACTATAAACATCTATAAGATTTCCTAAGCTTCATAACCCGAATTTCAACAATTGAAATAAATTTGAGTTAATGATATTTTATTAATTATTAATACAAATAAGTTATTAAATGGTTATTAAATAAATAATTATGATAACAATAATAAATAGTTTTGAATTTTGGAGGGAATCAGAAGTGGTCAGAATCAGAATTTGGAGTGGTCAGTCAGCTAATATTCCAGGTAGTATCACCAGTTTTTATTTATTAGCTACAAATATAAGAGTATTTCCTATGAAATATTTATTTGTAAATTCTGAAAGACTGCTTTAATACTTTGGGTTAAAAATTGTAAATGACTAATATTTTAATGAAAATATTGAATGGCTTTAATTGACTTAGGTTCTCTCTAACCCTTTTACCCATTTTTGTAGAAACAGTGTGATATTATTAAAGCTTATGATTTTTGGTATATTCTAAATTTGTATATTCATAAATATTAAAGGTACTGCTCTAGTTACCTTATTACGGGTGTTTCCCCCAGAGCTGTAGAAACTTGGCCTTGCAGTGTTTCCATGATATTGTCATCTGAGTACAACTGCATAGGTGTGTTAAACTGAGCGTGTACAATCTTGACACCGGGAAGCTCCATTTCCAAGGGAATGTTAGGGGCCATCTTAGACACTGCTTTCAGCTCTGTAGGGCAGATAGAGCTAACCGTGCTAATTGAAGAGGGGGTACTGCGTCCACTGCCACAGTCAATCCCCGAAGGAGTGCTGCATCCGCTGTGTTAATAGCCAGATTACAGAAGAGTGTGCAATGCATATTGGATTATAGAGAATAAAGACAAAAGTACAGGAATACGGTGATGTTAACAGGGCTAAAGAGCGTAAATAGAACAGATACAGAAAAGCAAAAGTATAGAAAGTAGAGAAAAGCAAAAGTATGTGTATTCATTGAAAAGTATTTTCCTGTAAAAGGTATCAATGCCAGTTATAAAGCAGTCCTTAAAATTCTGGCATGCATTTTCTTTGAAGATAGTAAAAATTCTTTGATAGATTGAATAATTCAGAACATAATATTACTTTACATTTTTAATGCTAGATTTTATTGAGGATTAATTAAGCCTCCCTAAAATTCTTTGTTCTAGTTGAGTAATTCTTAAAAGGGTAGCATACAAAGGTTATCTGAGTTGTCCATGTCAGTGACAGAATAAACACCTGCAGTACTGGAATCCTAGACACATCATTCCAGTCCTGTACCTCACAACCATCTTAATCCACAGTTGAAGAGACTACTATAAAGTAGTGTGAAATAATGAACGTGACATTTCCTAGATTTCCTGAAATTCTACAATAAGATATTTATTAATCTTTTAAAATTAGTTTACCAATATATTTCATTTTTTTAATATTTCTTGAAAATTTCAAAGAAGAAAAGATTCTAAACCAGCCAGGCATACTTTTGCATTTCTAAATTACAGTGTTTCCGGTAGAGTGTAAAGTGGTCCTTCACAAGAACAATGGATATGTATTCAGAGAATTAATTTTACTGCTTTTGAAGTAGATTTTACATATCATTTATACATAATAAAAAAGATGTACAGTTTTTAAGAAATATTGGTGTTGCTTGACATTACTGAAGTAAAGTTACCGCACACCAATTTGACATCTCTGGAAAAGCATTAGTGAAATAATGTGAATATTAAGCCCAAAGTCTTTTTCTCCATAGCACCTCAGAGGCTTTCTTTGTTTTGGGATATTTCTTTGCTATTGCTGTATAACAGCACATAACCCAGGCTTTCCACAGTCATTGGTTACCATTTATGTGATATTCAGAGCTATGAGATGATAAATGCTTAATCTCTTTCCTCCAATTTGCATATCAGGGTTGTGGTTAGTTCTTTCCAAGCTGAATGATTCTGTGTATACCGGGGAGAATACTCTGTTTCCAGAGTATTCCATGTACGGTACTCTGCCCAGTAGCTACTCTTGGGTGGAGAAGATGACCCAAAATTCTCCCTTTGATTCAGAGGGGAATTTGTGTAGGACCACTTTCTCAAAAATGTAAAGGGAAATATGTACTCTACCATCAAAAACATATCAAAAGAAAGCTAATTCCGGAAATGGTAGGCAAGCCTTAAAGCAAAAGTACAGTTCTGCATCATTACCTAGCATGAGCCAGCCAAAAAATTCACATGGAGGCAACTTATAAATTTGCAGTCTTCTCTTTTAGAAGAATCAAGGCCACCTTTAGATCCCGCAGTAGAATAAGTTTTGTCAGTGCTGATAGTGTTAGTAAATAGAAAGTAGCTGGAAAAGGCTAGAAAAAGCACAACTCTTGCTATGAGCAGCCAAAGTAATGTTAAAACAGAATAAATTATAAGTAAATTATAAATAA